AATACTGCCCGCCGATTTGTGCAACGGCTTCTCGTACGTCCCACTCACATACACGTGTCCTTTCCTCACTGTAAGGAAAAGGTCGCGTTGGGATGGAAGGTACGAGAGGCTGGCGCCCAATCGAAGGGTACTAGTCAGTCCACATAGCAATGAATCACAAAATATCCTAAGACGTCATTAAGAACAAAAGCAATTCGCGCGTCCCCCAATCAATCTTTTTGATACAAGAGAGAGAGTAGACACAGATCAGCTTGATCACTTATATGGCTACGCGTCTGATCAGTTCAACACAACGTAGGTCCCTGGGTGCCTTGTTTCTCAGGGCCGCCTCGTGACTCGGCTGCTGATGTCGTGCAGCATAAGGCAGATGGCCTACGAAGTGCAAACAGAGCTACAGATCTAAACACTCTTGCATTTGCGAACAAAATCCCGACGATAATCGTCTAATCAACAAAAGAGTCACATATTCCATTCATGCATTCACTGTGGAAGGTACAAAAATGAGACATGCACCGGAAAAGATGGGTCGCATTGCACAGTACACACGCATCCACCGTTCACAAGACAAGAAGGCGGGGTCCTTGCGTAGGATTACTCAGAAAACTAATGGAAGAGTTCCGAAATAAGTTCTTTTACGCAAGGGGAGCGCCCGATTTGCTTCTACTTAGGAGAGAAAGAGAGAGATAATCAATCAAGACACATCACCATTCGAAAGTAAAGAAAAGAGAGGGGGAGAGAGAGAGATAGAGAGAGAGTCGAGGTAGGTGATGACCAGATCTGGGAGAGAGACATTCGATATGACCACCATGCACTCACGCCAAAGGTAAAGATCCGCAACAACAAAGGCGCATTCGCCGTTAATTCCAATAGGTCCCCGGGCCAATCACTCACTCAACTCCAATCATCGAACCTCATACCCGCACCGACGATCCCAGCCGTCGCATGCTAACTTCCACCACCGCGATCGTCACCCTGCTGTCGTAAGCTCGACACGGTTCGCCCGGATCCCACAGTCCGTCGTGGCAATCAAGCGCGCAACCAGCCAGCCTATCGTCAGCCCGACAGGACTTTCCGACTCGCATGAACACACTCTGCCTAGCCACTGCTTTCCGGAAGCTGGCTTAGAGTCGAGAACGTAAGAGAGATTTGCGGATGCGCTTGCGAGTTTTATAGTTGCGACAGGCGAGATAAAAGGGGAGAAGGCGACAGGAAAGCTGAGGTGTAAGAGGAGAAGCAGCAGGAGAAAACTTTGAGAAGAGTGCTCTACGAACGCCATGCTGATCCCTCGGAACTCAAGGTTCAACCAATCAGATTCGTCACGCGATAGAAAGGTTCTATCGATCCACAAACCTGATTGGCGAGCGGGAGTTATCAGGAGATTGACGGGGCGTCGTACGCCACACTTAGAGGGTGAGAAGAGAAAAGGGGCGAGAGGTGGCGCAAGACGGGTCGAAGATTCAGATGATCAAGCAAAGGAAATGGCCGCGCGAAAGCAAGGCGGGAGAGAGAGAGAGAGAGAAAGAAAAACAGTTATGGGAAGAGAGAAAGAGGAGGGAGAAGGAAAGGGAGCGAGAGGAGGGGACGATGCGGGGAACAAAGAGGAGGAGGCTTTTGCATGCATGGCGCCGTCAACAAAAAAAGAAAAAGGCACCGAAACAGTTACCGCTGGCTCCTAATTCAAAATTGAAATCACAATATCCGCGCGCGAAAAAGCGACGCGGGAAGAGAAAATCCAACGCCTATTCGTGTCTGGTTGAAATTTCGAAAGTTTTCCCCGACGCGCCCAATAACATTTACACACCCAAAAAGGACACGTCGTCGTTCCGCTTATCCCGGAGTTCCCAAATACCGAGCTCAATTCCTAGCGCGCTCGCTAAGGCGTGCGCAATTTCCCATATATTTCTTGACTTTGCAAAAGGAAAAACAGAACTCAGCAGTCGAAAAAGCTCTCGAGAAAAAAGGAAAATGCAGCACCCGAATGCAAGAAATCAAAACGGGGTTTTTCCTGGGGTTGGTAGGATATAAGCAAAAGAAAGGGTACGAAAGATAGCTCGGGTTTGTGAAGTGGTTTGTCACACACACACACACACACACATACGAAAACACACACATACGAAAACCCGTTTTCTCGTTTTTTTTTTTTTTTTTTTTTCCATTGATTAATTGATTGATTGATTGATTGATTGACTGATT